CACGTGGTTTTAATTAGTCCTAATTGGAAATAGTTAAGATCTGGTTTAGAGAACTTTCAGTTATCCTTGAAGAAGTAGAAGCTACTACGGGAACAACTGTTACTATCATTGAAAATGGATTTGTCGTTTGTAACGGACTCTTAACATGACTTCGTTAATTGTCATTTATAAGTATCGATATTTAAACCGACCATTTGTTGATTTCTGACTCCACAAGAATGGGTTAGTGTTTGCTTTTGTGGAGATTCCTGAACCAATGATGTATTAGAACTGTAGAAAGGTTATATTCTATTGCAACTTTGATATTAACAATTCTTGCGTTATAAGTATATTTCTAGAAAGAAAATCTTCTTGGTGCAAACTAAAATCCTTATGGTGGTAAATAATAATTTGCGGCGGCATATACATACACTGCAATAAAGAAGGGGATGGACTCGAACTATAGTTGGATTTGCTTTGCAAACAGGAAGATTTCCTTACCGAACGGAAGCAGAGAACTGGTCCTCTACCGGACTAAACTGGTATTGAATTTTATAGCCCATCCAACAAAGGAAAAATGGGGAAAATAATCTGTGCGAAAGTGAATTTGGATATAGTTGTAGGTAAAGGGTCTTAAACAACATGCTAAAAGTATTGAGGGATGGGGGTGAAACTAACGGGTTGGTATAAAGAACCCATTTTATAGTTTCTTGTAAATAACGGTGGCCCATAGTAAAGATTTTCTTATACTTAAATAGTGTACCTACATAAAATTCTCTACACAAAAAACTTTTTCGCATTGTTCAAATTACCGGACTTTTTTTTTACGACAATTCAACTCATGTATAAAAACTCGCACAGTGCAATTGTCACCTTGATAGCGGCAAAAGTTACCTGCAACTTTTCCAACGACAAATGCACTAGTGGTTTTTTCACTTATTCATTTTCGAACCAATTATCGCATTATCCTATCCCATATGATTAGTTTGACGTCTGTCAATAAAATGCTAGGCAACAGATTACCTAAACAACCCAAATTTACTCGGTAAAATACAAACCTCTTGTGCAATTATATAAGTGAAAAATCGTATGGAAATTTTTTTCACGATTTTTACTATGCGTTTCCATGGCGTTTCGTCCTGTCTATAACCAATAGCTCAATTGTTGAGTGACAGAAAATGGCGAATGTCAATGATATTGTGCAATTATGGGTTATTAAGGATCACTATGCAAAAAAAAATACAACACGTGTTGAAAGTGTCTTTTTTTCATGAACTCTCCGTCTTCTTAACTCGGGATTCAAAGACCCTTGCAGCATTGTTAGGTAACGCTCTGAGTTGACAGTAATCACCAAAATTCTGCTGACTCATTACTCATGAGCAAGCGAGTGATCTAATGCTGATCCAACAACCGCAACTCAATAGTGCCAATTAAGAACACGAAATATGGTACAAATGCCAGACATCTCGGCTGTAAAGGTTTCCGAGATCTATTAAGAAACAATGCTCCATTCAAATTAAACAACGCAGATAAGGTGAGCTCCATTTCCATCTCGATTGACAAATTTATTGTTTCAATTTCTTGAAGGATATTATTTATTTGGAAAACCAATCCAACCCACTAAATTTCTATGATATGTAATGCACGAAATGTTCCATCAAAATCAGCACTATCGATAATATGGAATATCGACATCCTCTATAGAGACAGTATCATAAATATTGACTATATCAATATAACACTTACAACCGTAATATTACGACTGTTGAAGACTGTAAGGTTTGGGGCCTTTTATTTAACTCTAACCGCCGCTTGGCCATTTTTGTATTCGTCTGGAGATTTGAGAAGATATGCTGAATGTCGTTTCATAGTTCTGAAAATTGTGGCAAATTTGTGCTAAGAGCATTTTTTAAATCATGGATATATATTATATTTTTATACATGTTTTTAAAATGAAAATCTAAAAAATGCGTTAATTTTGAAACGGTTGGCAATAGATTAATTATTTAAGTAAATTTAGCAACTAGTGATAATTAGAGATGTTGCTTTGTTTTTTGGGTGTAGTTTTTATTTTTAGATGTGGAGCCTTTTCCTAAAAAACTAAGTGTCTAAATTTTAATAACGCCTTACCTACGCTTTTGGGAACCCTCTATTTGATTTTTGAAAAAATTAATTTCTACTCGGGCGAAAAAGCAGGGAGCAGGTATTTTCAAACATTTTTTACCAAATCGGAAATAGCGAACCCAAAAACCTAATTAAAACGGTACCTCTGTGTGTTATCGTTGCGGAAATGCGAGTTTTGGGGCGTAGCTCCCAAATGAAACATTTACGCGGTTGGTTTTTTAGCGTATTTTTGTTTCTCAAAAAAGAGCTTATTGTTCCACTACCTACGGTTCAGGGGCCTTTTATAAATTGATTGAGATTTCGCCAAAGGAGTATCGTAGAACGGAATGACGTGGATCCTTCTACATCAAAAATGCGCTGAAGTCTAATGATTGCACATCAGAGACATTTTTAACTTGTTTTGGAAAAATGTTTTTTTATTTCCCTGTATAACCCAAATTTTCTTGACTACCTCCATAAGTTTAGTAATAGTAGTGTAATAGTAATAGATAACATATCTATATAATCTCCATATGCGAACCAGGAATCCAAAATCAGAATTTTTTGCCCCAATTGGAGCAACAGTTTTAAGAAATATTCCGGCAAATGTTTGAGCCATTAGCAGGAGCATATAAAAGGTGCCTTCATTTCTAAATTTTGCTCTACCGGAAGCCAACGCACGCATATAGTCTCGATATTTGTGCAGAAAAAAGTGAGGGAAAATATCCCAAAAGTGGAAAGATTTTCATACAGTCTCGGAAACCATAGAAGATACGAAGATGGTCAGAGTGGGGAAAAGTTGCGCAAGTAATGTATGAGTTATGTATTATCATGCTGTAAAGGAAACGAGAAAATTTCGATTGCCATGATATGCCAGGAAAACTGAAATTTGTCGATTTGGTTGCTAATTTTTTCTGGTGTTATTTGAACAGATACAAAGGAACACTTTCTCATTGCCGCCATTTGAGCTCTGCTAATCAGCGTTGAGAGATTTTCAATGCAACCGAAGACATCATAACCAACTTTTTTTTATATGGCCCGTAAAAAAATTCCGTACTATATTGAGTAGCATTTTTTATTACGAATACAAAACAAACTTGGAAACTGTGGGTTTCAACAGGATGGTGCACCCGCACACAACGCCCTAATCGTGCGAGAATACCTATTGCACAAATTTCCTGGAAAATGAAAAATATCCTGTTGAAACCAAATGGGAAAGAAATGGTTCTCTAAATGCTACTGTTCTGGACAATGTTTTACAGGCTGATCCGCTGATAGATTAGTTCCGTTGCTACGAAAGGTGAAAAAAAGTGCAGGATATGTAATTGTGCGCGTTTTCACAGAGAAATCATTCGCGTAGAAATAGATTTTGTTTCTTGTGTACGTGTGTAAGAAATAAAGCCACATTTTTTAATGGAAATAGTATGTCATTTTATTATTAAATCCTCAAAATACTCTTATTTAATAATGATGAGATCATAAATGAAATACAGATTTCATTTAAAAAGTTCCAGTTTGGTGTTATTGCTCAAAAACTGCCAGGGCTCTTTATTTCTACGTCAATAATTCTTTGCTTCACTCTGTTTACCTTTCTTAATAATGAAACCAGCCTTTCAACGAAAAGCATAATTCAATTCCGTCCAAAAATAGGCACACTTCTTCCCACTGACATTGCCACCCTTAACGGATTCCGAAATGGCATAATGCTATGCACACCAAATAAATTACCTGTTGCCTAAAATTTAGACAATCTGTATCGGTTAGGAAAAGTGCAGATTGATACTGAATGTAAATTTAGCAGCCAATTTCCAACTATGGGGAGTAGGAGACAAACGGAATAATCGAGCTTTAGAGCTTTAGACTATATAATTACCAAAATTGGTGAATTTTTTAACGCCTTGCATATGGAAATGTCACTATTTTAATAGCGTCAGGTATCCATAGGTAGGCTCTTTAGAAAACGTATAAAAAACGGTCATCCTTTTCACTGTACTTCTCTCGATTGAAACATGATTCATTTTATGTTTGGATTACAATTATTTCGATTTGCATAATGTTCCTGGAAGCTACCAACAGAAGCATTTTTTTGCAATAAGTTGCGTCGCGTCATTTGTAATCAAAGGTCACTTTTTGTGTTTTATTAATAATAGATGTAATGACGCAATTTAAATTCGGACGAACAAGACATCTTACTTCGAGTTTTAATAAGTTGAGGAAATTCCATTGAATTCAAAAATGTCAATAGGAAGAGGAAAACCTCGCGACTTCTCATGATTATAACATATTTTTCCAATATAAACAGTTACGAACAAAAAAAAGTTGCTCGCAGTATTAAAAACGCGCAGTCTATAATGCCAGAAGATAATTAACGTGTTGTTGATAATTCAAGTTTCTTTTTTTTTGTATAATTGGGTTTAATACACTTACGATAGTTGCAACGGTACTCGAACGGCGACAACTCGTTTATATTAATTATAATTGCAATTACTAAATTAATTCTGTTTTCAGTCAGTCGTCTTCCTTATTTGTCGGACTTTGAGTCTGCTACAATTCGCTCAATGACGAAAAGATGGGAAACAATATCCCGCTATCTATACATTTTTAATTTACGCGACAAAAAGCTTCGTCTCAAAAACAAACACGTTCATCGCTTATTATTTCATGTGACCCGAACGTGGTAAAGGTCTGCGAGAAAAATTAGGTCAATATTGTGTTTTCTCGTAATCTAGTCGAGCTTGATTTGGACCGTTAGCAGTGGTCATCTGCAATATATTCGTAATTTCAGGTGCGGAAATTGGGAAGTGCCGCACTTGCAGTTCCTTCGGACGTTATTTAATTACGTAGTAGACATCCCATCTCAGCCCTTTATCTAATAAGCAATCTCGAAATGCAACTACTAATCGATATGTTTGTTACAGAAACATGTCTTCAAAGAGGAAATCTCCGCCGACTAAATTACAAGAAGGCGGGTCCGGCATTGAAGAAGCAGCACCTTTGCCGCCGACGATAATCGGCGGTGGAAGTGAAGGGGGTCTGACCGATTTGGACGAAACTAGTAGTAATAATCTTAGCGATCTCGGGGACGAGGATCCGACAACGATGGTCAGTAATAACGTCGCGTTTTATCAATTGTCTGAATCGCCATCGGGATCTGGTTCCGGTAGTGACGTCGATGATGGTATTGAAGAAGACCGATCGCCCCCAAAAAAGCAAAGAAGAGGATACACGGACGCTCCCAATAGCAATTTGTTAGTTCCTGGTGCACTTTCCGCAATGGCTCTGCATAATGATCAACTGAGGCAAGAGTCGGAAAATAGACGAAGAAATTCCTCCGAATGTAGTTCGCCATCTTCAGATATTAAAACCAGTATACATTATAATAATAATAATAGTAGTTTGCATAATAACAATAGTTCCTCACACCCTGTAAAACGTTCAATGGACGATGTGCTGAAAAGATTAACGTCAAAAATGAATAGCAGTACAATAAAAGAAGAGCAAAAGCGGCCTACACCGTCGACGACGCCCAACTCCATCCACAATTCGTAAGTTCTTTTTATCAACTTTTATAACAAAATGATTATGATAAATATGTATCAATCGAATTGCCTTGACCTCTCAGTCCTTTAGTCTGTAGATAACTAGCGAACCGATTAACCCAATTCTTTTCATTTTTATATAATTCCATACCACGCGTTTATAATTTTTGCATAACCGCATAATCATTCATTAATAACAATTGTAACTTACGAGTGTTGCGTGGTAAGAGCACATTACAACACATAGAAACAATAGATACTATCTGTCGCTCAAAGTTACGTAAATGAAAAAGCAGATAAGGTGTACGAATTTCCATCATCGACATATTGATTAAGCGGAGGAACGTTTGGTTTAATGTTATACTGTAAATGCATTAGACATTAAATCGAAATTGCATTGACATATAAGACGAGCGGGAGCAACGGCAGCGGTTACGTGTCTATGCTGCAAAATTCGATGGGGGAAGTGCAGACGTGGGGTGGACTCTCACGATCAGGTCACCTTTTGCATAATAGAACAACTAAAAGCTACTACGATCGATCACCTTTTTATGTTTAGAACGGGACGGGATTAAATTTTCTCACATATTAACGAAAAATGGAATTTGGATGTTGCCGTGAACTTTTCGTAGACATAATGCGCGAATTTTAGATAATCCGACAGTTATGTAAGAGATGTTAATGTAAATAAATAAATTATAATGATATTGATGGTCACGTTTTGCTCGTTAAAAGTATAGTTGTACTATACTGACTGCATATCAGTACATATACAGGGTCGCTGATAAGACAATAGTGTTAGGGTTCTTCAATGTATACTAGGCAGTAATAATTTAATTATACAGGTTGGGCCATAAAGGTGTGACACACCCAAATTGCATTTTTTATGGAATTCCCTGGACATTATTCGATATACAAAATATATCGAGCGAATATTAAGGGGCACTAATCACCCCCCCCTCCCTCCCCCCGTATATACGAATGATTTAATGATGATGATTGTAAAGAAAGTAGGTTAATCAAACTTTCCTTTAGCAGGGAGTATTCGAGATTTGAGTTCTGCTGGTGGTACCATACCTCCTAAACTCCCCGGAACGGCGGAACTGCCTCATACTTTACAACTTTCAGACTTACAGGAATCTCATTACGTTAAAAAAGATTGAATTTTCCTTTCTTGACAAGTATTCCATTCGTTCAAATCTTCGTAAAATGTATAGGCCCCCCCATGATAATTGCAACGAAAGAAGGTTCACGCTTAAGTTTTCTTTACGGGAAAGGGGGAGGGGAGTATTCGAGTATTGTGTTTGGCTGGGGACTCTTAAAACTTTCAGACTTACAGGACTCACCGGGGGGTCTGGGGGTATGGAATACCCCTCCAGTATACGAATGATATGTTGAGGTTCATCAAAGTTTTTGGCGCATTTTCAACTCTATTGTCCGCACTTTGACCGTCTGTTCGTCTGTACCAGTACTAGTCCTCCAATGTAAGCTTTTCGTTTCTTATACAGTGTACCACAGCCCTGAGACCTTTCCAAATTATTACTGATTCCGTTGCGGGGAAAATCCAATTTCGTCGGTCGCGAGTGACCGATTCGGTGCAAACTTTGCACAGTTGACCTATATGCCACATGTAATAAACCTATTGAAAATGGGTCAAATCCAATGACTCCGCAGGGTCACACCGAGGTGCTCTGCCGCATTTTTAGATCTGCTTTAGGGGTTTATTTTTTATAAGGTCTCACATGATTTCTAAAGAACCTTCGTCTACGTTCTCCCCCTGATTAAATTCTTGGTATTTGCCCCTGAGGTTCGATATCAAAATGGCTCCAATTTTTTTAATGGAAGTTCCACATTTTCTTGGGAGGTTGTATCACCAAGCGACGGATAGACGAACAGAAAAGCGAAAGCATAATCGCTGCCTCTTTTCGGGATCGCGCAAAAAGCACTTATGTTATTACGATAAAAGTTATTTGTTATCTAACTAGGCAAAAGTTTGGGTGTTTTTCGAACTTGCTTCCTCCTTAGACCATGCTGTAGTGTATAGTATACAGGATATGCTATTTTCTGAATAAACGCCTTGAATTATTTAAAGATATATAATTCTTATATCCTGAAGTTCTGTAATTTTAACTGTTTTAGGTTAGAGATATCAAAACCTAGGCAACTTGTAATATGGTGGTTTTCTACTTTTGTGAAGCTTTGTAATTACTTCAAGAACAAAGGTAATGCCCTTGTGGTTTTTAAATATGCAGCGTGCAAGGGGATTAAGTGTGTCAAAGGTTTTAAAAAGCATTGAAGGGAGTTTTATAGTCTTAGTTTCTAGAAAAATCACGGAACATTCTCGAAGTCGACATATGACATTTCATAGAACGAATTCCTCGCATCCGGTTTTGTTCCTTATCGCCGTTGACTAATCTTGTATCGACATGATGGCTCCTAGTGGCACCCCGATGTCTATCTGGATTTTTAGAATATTCGCTACAGTCGCTAAACGACTTAAGATATGACGGTTTCCTTATCCTTTATTTCTCTGCAGTTTTTCCCACAGGTTTGTTCCAAACCAAAAAACGAATACTTTTTTATGTTTAAATCGGCCTCTTACAGAGGTGAGAAGCGCTGGTCTTTTGAAGACTTCCAAAGGTCTCTTTCTCTAAACCATTATTTATCGTTTGAGTATTGCTCCAAGCGCAAACATAAGTATCCTCCGGTTCTTAAAACCGCCCAGATTAAAGGCAAGGGAAACTCTTTGAAGACAACAGTAGAGTGCCGAAGTCCTCCAAAATTTACAAGAAAAAAACCTGCGATTGTTAAAAACCTTAAGACTTAAAAGTATTGCAGAAAATCGAAAAATATTTGTGAAGGTTTTTTTAAGAGGATTGACTTTACGGAGCAGATGCTTCTTGAACGATCTTAAAATATGTGGAAATAAACTACCAAAGTGTAGTGAAGAAGAGAATCCACTAAAGAGTGAAGAATTTCGTTTTTTTTAACGACCGATGGTTACTAAAGGTTTCAGCTTGTGAATGAAGTTAAATTTGATAACAAATTATTATCAGTGTGTGATAAAAATGAATGAATGTTATTTCAACCAAAAATTTTGACCCAGAAAGCAGTTATTGTGAAAACAAATTTCCAATTTTTCAATGTAAACGCGACCTTAATGACTATATATTGGCGAGACTCATCTTCAACCGTCAGTGGCAGCGAACACGCTCGCATTCCGGTTCTTCTAGAAGCAAGTCTGCTACACGCCCAGGGTATCAACGATGTCTCGGCATTGGAGCAAAAAATTGCACGGATCCAAGACCTTCGTACAAGACTGCCGGTCTGGAAAACTGATTTCCTCCTCGCCATCCACGGCAGTGTGCGACGACACCAACGCTAAATCCAAGACCCGATTCTTAGTGGATACAGGAGTCGGCGTGTCAATCTTTTTCCTAGGCTTCGCAGAAACTTCGTGTAGCAGTTCATGCTGGTGTGACGTCAACCAGTCCATCATCGATTCCGACTTCCTTCGCCGATTTAATCTGCTGGTGGGCGTAGAAGGATAGACAGTGAAACGCGAGTTAGTGTAAGTGCATCCGCTACCATGAGTTCTGTGTGTTCAGTGCGATCGGTTCAAAGTGCTAACCCCTTAGCAGACCTACTTAACAAGTACCAGGATGTGACTACACCGCGTGTGCTCAGTGGTAGAGTCACAACATCCGGTCTACCTGTATTCTCCAAGCCTCGCCACCTCGCCGGACATAGACTTATTGCTGCCCGAGCCGAATTCGCCCGCATGGTGGAATTAGGAATCTGCCGACCTTCTCAATCCCCTGGGTTAGAAATTCTTGAGTTAGGCGAACAAGTTTTCTCCATCCGACGTTGAAATTCTCTGCGATGAGAGTAAAAAACCATATGTTCCAGACAATTCCCAACGTTGATTTTCAATAAGATTCACAAGATGTCATACCCCAGCGGTAGAAAAATAAGTCAACGATTCGCGTGGCCCAAACTGAAATCTGACATAAAGCTTTGGTGTCGTCAGTGTCTCCATTATCAACGCTCCAAGATTCATCGCCACACCGTATCATCTCCAGGACAATTCCAATTGGTATCCCTACGTTTATACACTCATCGGCCGCTTCACGACTCGGCCAGAAGTTATTCCCATAAATGACATCACCGTCGAGTCCGTCGCAAGACATTTCATAAGCGGACGGATTGCAACATTTGGAATTCCGGAACGGTAAAGTGGAACGCTTCCAAGTGCTACAAAACGGAGTGATTGGTAGAAGTGCTACCTATCATCCTACTGGGTCTGCGCTCAACTCCCGCAGATGACTCTGGTTTTGCACCTACATCTCTTGACTACGACGCAACACTCCGCCTGCCGGGAAAATTATTTGCCAGCAGCCCTCATGATTCGGACACAACTAAAATTGCTAAGACACTCAGATTCTCCTTCGAAGATTTCCGACCATCCCAAGCAAAAAAATATGGAAAGCTCAGAATTTTCGTCCAGCTGCATACGTACTCACCGGTTTTTGTGCGAAAAGGATCATACGAGGAACCGCGACACATACTTTGTCATAGAGCTAAAGGGTCGCAACGATCAAGTACCTATCTATCGGTCGTCTGAAGCCAGCATTCACCGATAATCGTGAAACCCAGGAGTCCACTTCACTCCAGCTACCAGATCCTGCCGAGGAAACTGAATCTTCGAACGATGCTCATTCTTCGCATCAGCGTATCAGGTCCGGGAGAGACGTAAATTTTCCCAAAAAGTTTGCCAGCGAAAGGTCTATGGGATTTGGTGGGGGGATCAATTGTAACCAATGCCGTACAGTCTTACTTTAAAAAAACCTAAAATGAGGATTTTCGACAAATCATTGAATCTTGAAGAATATTATCTCAGCGGTAGTGTTTTTTTGAGTAATTATCGAGGTAATTATGTTTTGAAAACTCGGCTTGGCTCTAGTTTTTTGTCCCTCCCTACCTCGAATTCTTTCTTGTATCGTCTACAACACATTATTATGGAACTTAATATTTCGTTTTTTACTTTTGGAAATGTGGTTGAATGAAGGAACTCTGTCAAAGTACCTATCTTAAACTTAATTGAAGAACCATGAAGGGTTTCAAAGCAACTTGCCATTGGAATCTTGAACGTTCCAACGCTTGTTAACTACAGAAATGAAGTACATTGGAGAATCGTGATAAGAAAGCTCCTAAAGCAGCGACTTCTACAGTGAACTAAATAAAAACACGTTGAACGTTGAAAATTTAAGGAGGCAGATATAGGTGTAAAAACCTGAGATCGGTGTTGATTCAAAATGGAAATACGCACTTAATTTTACATTAATTTCCAATAAGTTTGCAAAGGAAATGAAATGGCAATAAATCGGAGCGATTCAAAAAATTTCGTTAACCAGAAGAAATAATACCAAATCCCCAATTACATTCAAATCCTTCCAGCAGAGGTATTATTTGAACTTTCCGGAAGAAATGGATCAATGCTGTTTATTGTTTGTTTTGAATTATTCGATTAGCCAAAATTTTCCGATACGATACGGTTAGACAATTTTTTCAATACATGTACTTGTCATTGGGCCAATTTTGTTTGTAGTTTTGCTTTACTTATCGCAATAACATTGAACCAAATTAAGTAATTTTTAAACAACATTACATGCAAATTCGATACCGCAGTCTACTTGCTCAAGCAGATTTACAGTGAGGCATATCATAACTCCGCTTTTGAATTATTCGAGAACACTCAAATCGCTTTCGAAATTACAATACAAAAGTTTGAGTAAGTTCCTTCGAGCAGATGCGCCATTTTCAATCAGTTCTAACTTTATGTTCATCACGTATGAGTTATTAAAAGCGTTTATTTTAGTATGTTTAAATATAGATTAATATTTATGTACTAATTAAATGCTTGATAAAGTGATTTTGAAGCTCCTTGCGTCCAATATCCGAAATTGTAGGTATTCAGTAATTGGAATGAAATCCATGGGAATCGTTTCAAGAATTTAACCCTATAACAATCGTAAGGTAATGAACTAAAACAAATAGACGTGTAGATTAATAGAAAAGGGACCGTGATAAAAGATTGAAGATAATGTTTAAAGGGAGGCGAAAAATAATAAAAGATAATTAACCTAGAGATGCACCAACGCGATTGGTACAAAGGGACAAAGAAACCGCTATCGCTTTAATCTTTTATTCAAAAACGTTCGACAATGCGTTTTTCTTTTTACATTTGTGTTACATCTTTATGTTTCGTATATTTTCTACATTGTAGAACAAACAAACCCGATTCGCTGATGGGACTACTTCTCTCGCTAAATGTAAGATTTGAGATTACAGCGTGTGTGAGTTTTCATTTTTTTACAGCGACATGGAAAGCGTGGCAGCGTTACAGCAGGCACTTTCGGGAGATAACGTTTTGGAAAAGGAACGAAAAATCTCCGAAATGATCTTGCAGTTGCAAATGCTACGCGGTCAGCTACTGTCTCAAGACCCTCCCCAGCAAGAATCCAACAAGGTAAGCGTTTATAGTATAGGTAGTGTGCGGAAACATAAATTTCTTTCTTTTTGTATGCTTAGTCTATTTTAAAAAACACTTAGTTAAGTAAGTATACGGTCTATAAATATCCGTAATTGTGAACGTAGCGTACACAGCGTGAACGACAATGATATTAAAATTAACGGCGCCATTACAAAACACAAAATTTGTGTTCGCTAAATTTCCATTAAAATAAACATACTCTCGGCTAATAAAATTACATTTCTTGGAGAATAATTAGCAAGTAATATTTGTCTGGAATGAAGTACCATTGATTTAGTAAGTAAGGATAACCACGTTTGATTTTTTGCATCTTAGTCTTTTATTTCCATTTTTTGACTACGGTAAGCGAAAGCCGAAGGTCACTGGACGACCCCCGTCAGTGGACGGTGATCCCAAGACGCAAAAAAAGTTTTTTGGAACTTGTTTTGATGCAGAAAAAATATTATTTATAGAATCGCGTTTGCTTTGCACGATTTTGCTATATTATTGTCATGACAACGCTATCAATTGTTTCTTAATTTGATTTCGTTTTTATTCGCATTTGATATTTTGGGAGAATATTGTATTTCTCGGATTTCTATTAATGATCGTGATACGAGGATGATTTTTGGGATCTCAGAAATGGTGAGAGATAGGAAATCAGTTAAATAGAAGCAAAGTTAGCTTAGAAAGTGACGGAATTCTGGACGATTTCGGAAAAACTGAAATTCGCTATTGACTTTTTGATTTTTTGGGACTTTATTTCAAAAATTTTTTGAATTCAAATGCAACTTTTTCTCCCTTCAAGTTTATTTTTTTTTAATACAGATCTGGCGCATCAGACCGTGCAAGAGTATTGGTATAAATTACACGAAGGGTGGAAGTAATGTGGAACAGGGGTTGTAAAACAAATTGAGGGGTAGCGTGAAGAAGACGGAGGAAAAGTTAATGTAAAATTTCAGCTCATTAAATATATTGCCAAATTATAAGAACGCAACGCAACGATGTCGATCTGGGCAATGCAGAAGCAAATTGTAAAGAAAAACAAGGTGCTATTTCCCTTGCTATCCTAATAATTTTTTCAATTGAATTCTTCAGCGAACACCCCTCCAACTTCTACATGATCCCTCGCAAAACAAGCAACTGCACTTTTTGTCTTTTTTGGTAAAGAAAATGCTCGTAATATTCGCGTTTTTTTTTGCAATTTGAGGAACTTTTTATATTAAAAAAATTGTATTGATTTATGAATATTGGAAATAATTTTATCTTTTTTTACTAGCCATAGACTACATCTATCTAGAGCGGGTAACATTAACTTTTAGAATATGCACTGGCCGCTATCGCCGTTTCACAACCACTCTATTTTTTTGCCCATTTTGAGGTGGTAGTGGTTTAGTGTAAAATAGTCAGGGCCGTATTTTAAAAAACATTGGATGATGGTCTCCAAAAAAGCGAAACGTCGGACTCAAAATCTAATGATCCCAGCTTTTAGTAGAAGAAAAGATGCAATGAGAAAAAAATTTGTTTCACAAATCTTTTCAAATAAAGCGAAATAAAGTCCCCATTTGACCCCAAACTGCACAACTAGGCCTCTTTTTAACCGTCGCATCTGTCGAAATGCCAATGGTCACCTTCGAATGTAACACTTCAAATCGTTTGTGGAGGGCGTGCAGGTATTCACAGTGCTCCTCAAAGGAAATTTGGTGTTTATAGTTCGTTCCGGAATTAGGAGGATTAATTAATCATTAGGATATACAATAATGTCGTTTAATTCTTTGTATAGAAGCAGACAGGAGATTCATCAGGAGGACGCCGTAAATGTCCCGCGCGCATTCTGATTTATTTAATAATCTCGTTACAGGCCGCGGTCCAGAACATTTTGTATTCTTCCTCATTCTGTGATACGATAGATTCGTTTGTATGAGGATGAAATGAAAGATAATAGTCCTAGATCCCTGGGTTCCTAGGCCTTAGTAATTATAAGCTTTGGGGTAGTCTATGTTCACTGTACACACTAATACTACTCCACTGTACATATTTTCTCCATCAGAAAATATCTAAGGTCTGGGGTCCCTGACATCTTGCTCTATTACACAGGGTGGCAATTTGAAAACTTACCACCCCCCATTATTTAATAAATAAACGAGATATTTAAAAAAATCAAAATCCGTTTCGGTAATTCGGAGGGGGAACCTAAATGTAATGCTATTTGGTATGGTTGGAAAGCATTTTTTCAGGGTTTTCCAACAACGTATCACACATCACACATGGGTCAGTATTTAAGATTTAAAAGTTGGGGTGGCTGGGGCGCAGGGGGTTGGAGGGAGTGCGTCGCCAACTATATCATTGTGATTCCCCCTCCGAATTACCGAAACGGATTTTGATTTTTTAAAATATCTCGTTTATTTACTAACACATGGGGGGGTGGTAAGTTTTCAAATTGCCACCCCGTATAAGATAATTAGATAATACGTACTATTATACAATACATTGTGTCCAAGAGAAGGACGTGTATTATGAGGATCTCGGAAACCACAGAAGATAAGACGATGGTTGTGGGTTGTGGGAAAAGTTGCGCAATTTAAAGAGTTAGTATCATGCATTAAAGAAAACCAGAAAATTCCGATTACTTCCGAAGATATGTCAGAAAATCCGAAATTTGCCAATTTCATTTTAATTTTTTCTGATGTTACTTGAACAAAAAAAATAAAAAACCTTTTTCATTGCCACTTTTTGAGCTCTACAAAACGCCGTTGGGAGATATATAACGTTTCTTTTCGGAAAAACTATCAATTTTATTTTTTTATATGGCCCGTAAAAAAGTACATATACTGTATTGAGTAGCATTCTTTATTACATATACAACGATGTACGGTATACAAAAAGAACAAGGGTTGGTTTTAACAGAATGGTGCACCCCCTCACAAAATAATATCTACATTTGCCGCCACCTTTCATGGAAATAATGTATTTATGTACCGGAGCTTGACATTCACACCTGGGTCACACGTGCGAAGAATATATACTTATAATATTTCGGTGTTTGTGGTTTGAGCTTAGGCGCTCCTCTTTGACCAGAAAATGACCTGTCTCATAATAATAAAAATAGTATAGGGGTATAATATTTTGAATGAACAAATTCACCAAATATTTTACGCCCTCACATAAAACAAACCGATTACTCATCGCACAAGCCGATGATAAAATCGTAAAACAAACGCAAACTGGTCCAGAATATATAACTAATCAACTATTTAGTGCAAAAAAATTTAAAACGGTACTCTAGGTATCCAACACCTTGTCGATATAAAGGGACTCGGACCCCTTTGTTCCCTGCAGATATTAGACAGGTAACAGGGTAGGTCACGGGCGAGTAGAAACTGGACCCAAGAAAAAATTAAATTGAGGATCTTTGAGTTTTCTTAACACTTCAAAGTAGTAGTTATCAAATTTTCTTTTATTTCAGTACGATATTGTTATCTCTTAATAAGACAAATTGGGTGGTTTTCCAATTTTATATACTTAATTGAAAGTGAACATTGTGAAAATATACTTGATACCTTAGCTAAAAGTGCCAATAGGAAATAAGGCAATTAAGTTACAATTTTTGACCTATAACATTATTTCGTATTCATTTATATCTTTTGGCACATGGCGCATTCCTTGACAGTAGAAACATAAACCCGACAAGCCCACACTTAAAAAACTAGAAAGAATGATTTATTTCGTTTTTCTTATCTGTGGCTTGTCAGAAGCATTCAAACACGAATTGCTGGAATAAAATAAAAATGTAAAAGAAAGTGATGTAGGTATGTTATACTAATCACTCATAATAAGCGAGATCACTTTGCAAATCTATTTAAAGAGTTTTTATTTGGCTTGGCAGGTGAAAAAGTGTCGATTTTTGTGAACTAACTCGCATTTCTGCACTTTGTATTTTTCTTTTTTATATTTGCTCATGTAAGTTCTTCCATGTAATTCTTTTAACAAAAGCTTAAGAAACAACAGAGCTGATTATCACTGGATATAAGCTCCTTTAAATTTTAATTCAAACCCCCGTTCCAGCAAATGCATTTGCTTATAGTATTGTAACTTTATTTATACTGATTGCAAATAGTAATAAAACACTACAAAAAAAAATGTAATTCTTTGGTTCACTCTATCACTCTATCAATAAAAAAAGTAAAATTTATTAGTGTCTTTTAATGGTTGTCGTTTTTCTAAAGTAGCCAGTATAGGTAGTTCTAATAAAAATAAACAATGCAGTTTTGGCAAACTGGTCCAGAATATATAACTAATCAACAATTTAGTGCAAAAAACTTGGGCATCAACGAACTTTGGACAAAAATAAACATTTTAGTGAAAGACATCTCAATAACCTTTAATGTGATCCTGTTACACCTAACGGCATTACGTACCTTTTTTGCGATGACTGACGTAAATAATCGGAGCAAAAAATTAATTTGTATTCTGTTAAAATACCGCTGATCGTTTAGTTTATATATATTTAAAGCATGATACTTACAACAACATGTATAAAGCAAGTGCTCCGGATTAGGTTTCATGTCATCTGCAAAAATGTTGAGATTTTAAGATGGTTAGTACTCTCGTTATAATGAGAACAATATACTTAATATAATCCCACATTTTCTAATTAACGCAGCCCATATCGAAGAGATGTCATTATGTAGCTTTTAATTGAGATTTTTTAATGACGAACGCAAGCCAACCAATCCCTTAATAAAAGCATTGATTAAACTACCAATGGAAGCTACAAAGAAAATTGAGGGTTTCGATTTCCCTAATGGCAAATGCAAATTTAGTTCTTGGTAAATCAAAACCGATACAAAGAAAGACCAAACAACAAAGTCGACAAAAGGCCTCTCGACAATCAGTGTGTGTGTTGCATATTTTACATTGACTACAACTCGATCTGCATTCAGGTCACCTTGTTGACTTGCTCTTTTGAAGACGCGGACTACACAGAACACAAAAGG